TTCCTTCTCTTTGTGGGATAGCAGATTCAGAAATGTTCCTTTTAATAATGGGATCGGCCCCTTCCTTCTAGCTCTGAAACCATAAAAAGGGGTGGCCACCTTCTTCTTTCTTGTTTTTTAAAAAATAACCATGAACTCGTTGGTTTGGTTTTGCTTATTTTATTACCACTTCCTGGACATTCAGCTGATCATTATGTTTCTTACCTATTATCAAATGAACAGCCTTTTATTATTTATTTATTTGTTTGTTTATTTATGAGACTTATATACCGCTTTAAGTGCAAGCACTCTCTAAGCGGTGTACACCAGTAAGCAATGTATGTGTGTGTGTGTATATATATATATATATATATATATATATATATATATATATATAATATATATATATATATATATATATTTACATTGCCCCCAACAATCTGGGTCCTCATTTTACCTACCCCGGAAGGATGGAAGGCTGAGTCAACCTTGAGCCGGTGAGATTTGAACCGCTGACCTGCTGAACACAGTCAGCTAAAGTGGCCTGCAGTACTGCACTCTAACTGCTGCGCCACCTCGGCTCTTGCAAGACACTTAAATTCTGTGTGCTGACTAATAACTTCCAGCAAAGTGTAATTATGGACTCGCTTGTCATATCCTTATACATTTTATTTATATGAAATGATCTGTGATGACACAGTGCTTAGAGTTATCTGCCCACAGCCTGAAGTTCGATCCTCAAGGTTGACTCAGCCTCCCATCCTTTCGAGGACAGTAAAATGAGGACCCAGATTGTGGGGGGGGGGGCAACTCACCATGGCCAACTTGCCATGGGGGAACTCGCCACAGGACGTGAGTTAAGCTAATATTGAGGAAATGGTGGAACAGACTCATTAAAGAAAGGATACCGTAGGAGGGACAATACGAAATGGGAACGACAAAAATTAAAACAATTTTTAAAATTATTTTAAATAGTTAAATTGAATTGTTGAATGGCGCTGCGGTGGGCTGTCCTGCACTGAGTGGGCTGTGGTGAGTTGTCCCTTTCCGCTCCCCTGAACAAGTGAAAAAACAAATTGAGCATTGTATTACTTTGAGAAGAAGAAAACGAGCAAGAAACAAAATGTATTAGGGCAGTGTTTCTCAACGTTTGTGTGACGGCGACCCCCGTCACACGAACGTGCTGTGCATGCGTGGCGCCGCCCCCATGCGCGGCACGCATGCGCGGCGCCGCCCCCTGAGGGGGGAAAATGGCGGATCGCATTGTTTGGCGACCCCCGTAAAATGGTCGATCGACCCCAAATGGGGTCGCGACCCATAGGTTGAGAACCGCTGTATTAGGGGCTCAGAGCATTAGTTTTGAAAATACCCTTGATGAAGCTGCCTGTGGCCATCCTTCCCAAATATTCTTCCTCTGTCTACCTCCATCATTTCATATTTGTATTTTACGTGACCGTTGTATGAAAGAAATTTAAACACTGTAAGGCACTGGCCTAATAGGGCCATTATATCATTGTTACTGAATTTTTTTTTTTTAAAGGCCCAGTTGAGCTGGCTCATTAGTAATAATGAAATGCCAGCGAACACTTAGGCCCCCTTAAATATCTTGCCTTTGTGAACTCTTATAGAGTAGAAATGTTGTGATGAACTCAGTGAGGTGGCTTCATGCATGCCTGGCTCCCAGCTGTCTCATAAATGCTGGTTTCTTAGAAAACAGATAACTCAAACTGTTGAGAACCAGCACAGCAAAAGAAAAACAGGAAGAAGATATTAAAATAAATTAGGGGATGAGGTAAAAAGGCTGAACAATTTCTTCTATGACCTCTTCCCAGGACAGTGTAAATATTTGTAGTTTGGGATACAATAAAAGTCCAAATCACTGTTCCTCTAAAATTGCTGGAAATGCATGCTGTCTCCTTCAAACGCATCTTGGGGCTCTTTTTTTTTTTTTAAACCAATGAATTGTAAATTAAGACTGACCTATTGTGAGCTTGATATTTAAAAAAAAATGATTGAAAGCAAAAGAGAAATGTGAATAATGTGGATAAGAGTCCCGTTGATTTACCACTGTGTTCATCCAACAGATGTTGCAAAGCTGCAAGCTTCAATTATAAATCAGAGGTTTAAATCAAAACTGTTGCTTCTGATGTCACTGCAGCCTCCAGACACTGGAACAGGCAGAGATAGCAAACTCTTCCAGAAAGTTTTAAAACACTTTTGGAATCTCTGCATCTCCTTTCTCTAATAAAAATCTGGCATTTTGAGTCAGTCCTCTGTTGATATCTGTGCCAGACTTCATACACATCTTTGTAGCCACGGCATTATTTCCCCCTGCTTTGGTCAATCCCTTTAGATCAGTTCCTCTGAAGTTTGTTTTAGAGTTTACCCTTTTGGTGGCTTCAGGTAGATTATACGCCACCCAGCCATTTTGAAAAGGAGGTAGGGAAAATTTGAAAAAATCAAAAAGCCAAATAGTTCAGATGGGTCAACCTTAGGTGAGAGAATGTGGAGAGGCAGGGAGATTAATGGAGGGAAAGCTACCCATAAACAATCGAGAGAGAAAAATATGGCTGTTGGCCACTCAGTCCAGGCAACCAGAAACCTCAGAATCGGGCGGCATCAACGAGGTGTAAAGATACCTTCTGTATTGTCTGTTTATTTATCCCTAATATGCCTTAAGAAATTGAAGCACTTCTTGCTTCCTTGATCCTGCCCTTACAAGTTGATTGGTCTGTTTCTCTGCTTTGGTACCCTTCCCCAAAAGCAGTTTTATCAATGACTGGAACCACATTTACTGCGCCCTACCTCCGTTTTTATTCAGGTGGAGACCAGATCCAAGGCCATTCCCACCCACTTCAGATTTTACTTGGGCCGCCTGTAACAACTGTGTGTTCTTGAGATCAAGCCTCCACGAAGGAGCAGGCTTGGTACGGTGAGGGTCTCTTTCCCAAGTTTTGGGCTCTTTAATTTGGGGTGGGGTTGCCTGTTTTTAAGAGATGAATACCTGAAGCACAAGTAGAACAGTGTGAATGCCCACCTTCATTTTCCAACAATTTAGTTCTCTACTAGTTGGTCCACACTTTTTCTTTTCACCGCTCTGCTGCCTGGAAAGTCCATGGACCAAGAGAAAAGGGGGGAAGCCAGGACTCCCCTCATATCCTCATAAAAAAGAACTGGAAAGACTCACCAACACCCCTCCCCTCCATTTCTACCATAACCTTGACTGTTACACACAAACTAAACTCTGGCTGAATAGGGATAGTGTTCATGGGTTATAAGAAGAGAGCCACTGAAAGGAATTATAGGCAAACAGTTTGGAAACAGGATCTGAAAGCCATCTACCTTCTTAACAGCAAGCCTTCCTGTTCTCCCTCCCCCCCCCCCCAATGCTCAGGCACAGATTTTGCAAGTGGGCAGACCCTGTTGAATCCCTCAAATCTACTCAAAAAGAGATACTTAATAAGTAGCTGGAAATGTAGCTTGGGAAACACTTGCCAGTTGTAGTAGGCAAGAGCCAACCCAATGGATCAGCCTTCCCCAAATTTTGTCCCTCCCCAAAAATCAATTCCCAGAATTCTCCAACTATCTGAAAATTCCATAAGTTGGAGTCTACCCATCTGGAGGCCACCAGTTTCAAGAAGATTGAAATGGACTAGCAGCTTCGACTGACTTTCAAGAGCTCTTTACCTATAGCTCAGATTTCCCGGGGTCTTTTTACTCAACTCCTGAAATTCTTCCAGATCGTGCCACCAATAATCGGTGGCTAAAAAGATGGAGGGCTGAGCACTTTTTACAAAGCTCTTCCCCATGCCTCCCATGATACCAAAAGGAAGCCAATCTTAATCGTAGCTTCTGCGATTGTAAGATATGGAGAAAGATTGAGGGGAAAAAATGTTTCCTGCCCTATTCTAGAGTAGTAAGTTCTGAATTACAGGCAGACCTTGACTTATGGCCTCAATTGAGCTCAAAATGTATGTTGTCAAATGAGACATTTGTTAAGTGAGTTTTGCCCCATTTTAGACCTTTCTTGCCACAGAAGTTAAGGAAATCACTAGAGTTGTTTAAGTTAGTAACACGGTTATTAAGTGAATCCGGCTTCCCCATTGGCTTTGCTTATCAGAAGGCCGCAAAAGGGGATCCCATGACCCCAGAAGGCTGCAACCATCCTAAATATCAGTCTGTTGCTGAGCATCTGAATTTTAGTCATGTGACCATAGGGATGCTACAATGGTCATAAAGGTGAAAAATGGTGCCAAGTCACTTTTCAGTGCCGTTGTTCAATGCCAAATGGTCACTAAATAAACTTGTAAGTTGAGGACTACCTATAAACTATGGTTGATTTATTATGAGTGAGGGTCCATACATTTGTAGAAGCATGGACCGCAACTGCAGCCCTCTAACAAAGAAACTCACTGATGTTTTTCAGCATGATGCTTAATCTAAGGCCAAGTTGTGGTGGCGCAATGGTTAGAAGGCAGTATTGCAGGCTGACTCTGCCCACTGCCAGCAGTTTGATCCTGACTGGCTCAAGGATGACTTCCATCCTTCAGGTTGATAAAATGAGGACTTGGATTGTTGAAGGGCAATATGCTGACTCTGTAAACCGCTTAGAGAGTAAAGCACTAGGAAGGAGTATATAAGTCTTATTGCTATTGCTAATGAGCTGTTCCTTTCCTATTGAATTATTGAAACTAATCAAGGAGAGAACCAGCCTAGAACTGAGGACAAATTTCCTGACAGAACAATTAATCAGAGGAACACCTTGCCTCCAGAAGTTGTGAGTGCTCCATTACTGGAGGTTTTTAAGAAGAGATTGGACAACCATTTGTCTAAAATGGTATAGGGCTTCGTGCCTGAGCAGAGGGTTGGACTAGAAGACCTCCAAGGTCCCTTCCAGCTCTGTTATTCTGTATTCTGAACCCAGGATGTTCCAGGTGTGTTCTTATAAGACAGGTGGGGCCTCTCCTTGTTCCAGGCAAACAATGCAGTGTGGTCTTGCAATTCTGATTTCTTTAAAACAGGGCAAAGTTGCAGAGCGTGGCAAGCATATTGACCTGCTTACCAGCCCCAACAGCCTCTACTACGAGATGTGGCACACTCAGAGCAGCCGGATGCTGAACAGAAGCACCAGTGAGAGGTGGGAGGAGAGAAACCATCACATGTCCAAAGAGGAAGAAAGGAAGAAACTGCAAGAAGAAATAATCAACAGCGTGAAAGGCTGTGGGAATTGCTCCTGCTGAGTCTGAGTCTAAATCCACCCCCAGTTGATGCCAAGTAAAGTTTGCACTGAAGCTGCATTCAACCAAGTACACCGTGCCGAGATTTTGTTTGCTTTTGTTAGTGGGCTTTTCTCCATGAAACCAGATCTTGGTGGCCAAAGGATTTTATATTTGCTTGTCAGTGAGGATTGGTTGAAACTGACCCGGACTGGTTCATTAACACTTATATTTGGTAATAATCTCAGACAAGGTGCAAATCCACCTGGAATTGTTTTTAACGTGGCAGAAAATTGCTATAACCTGGCCAGAATCAAATTATCTGGCATTCACTGTTAAGGTGTTGCATTCTAATGCTGTTCCTCACTACTGCAGAGTTTATATATGTTTTAACAGAAATCAATTAAATCAAGTATGTATATTCATGGGGAAAAGGATGCAGTTAATATTCTTTAGTTGTTGCATTTAATAGAGTTTGTATCCTTTTATAAAAGAGCATCAGGTTTGCAGTTCAATGCAGAGACATTTTTGCCTCAATATTTACTGATTTTCCCCATTAGAAGTACATATTTCTGCAAGGACTAAATTTTCAGTGTTAAGAACAAAAGAGAGCATCTCAAAATCATCGGTGCATCTTTCAAAGCAAAGTAGTAAAGGCTGGTTCATCTCAATTCTGTAATCATCTGGGAACAGCACAAGGAAATGTTTCTATTAAATTCTAATGATAATTCAATACAAATATTGTTAGAATTATTGTCTTGCCAATAAGTTGTGTTTCTGTAGCAAGGTACAGAGTGTCTTCATTCTCAGGCACTATTCGGACTGCCTTTTGTTCGGGCTCAGTATTGATGAAGGAAATGTATTGTTTTGGAAAAGTAATTTCAGTTGACCTTGACATTACTTCAGTACAGAGATGAGTAACTTTTGCTGTGCCCTGCAAAATAAACCCCTTTAATAGGTGGTAACAAAATGGAAATTGGGAGTTCATTCTTCAACTGGATAAGTTACTGTTTGATGGCATTAAGTGGAAAAAGTCGTGGTGCTTAAAAACAAAGTCCTGTCTTTCTTTGTTGGTAATTGCTGGTAACATTTCCTTCCTTCCTTCCTTCCTTCCTTCCTTCCTTCCTTCCTTCCTTCCTTCCTTCCTCCCTCCCTCCCTCCCTCCCTCCTTCCTTCCTTCCTTCCTTCCTTCCTTCCTTCCTTCCTTCCTTCCTTCCTTCCAAGCCACTAGAGGAGTGGGGGGGGGGAAGAGTCATTATTAAATTCCAAGAATTGATAGTATAATTTATCCTGCTTTCAGTGTTTATTTTTCTTTTTGGTGTTTATTTTTCTTTCCCAAAATGAAAATGCTCTATTTTAAGAGACTGGTATATTCCTCCAGGCACCGTCTATGCCTCCATGAAGTGTTCACGCCTCTTCCACTAGAGTGTCATCAGGTGGCTGTCCTCCTTGTCAACATTGATCCAGTGAAAGGTACAAGTATTCTGCACACATGTAGCGTGTGCGTACATGAGGCTCCATAGCGCTGTGATTTCTAACTTATCAGCTGTGTCCAATGGTCATTTAAACAAATACTTTTCACCAGAACTAGAGCCAGTGCATCATCTGTGTCAGGCAATACTGATCTTCTCCATGGAGGGCGGAGCTAAGTCAATTTGAACTGTGATTGGTTCCTTATAAAATGTGGTACAATGTTCTAGCCCTTTTAGGCCAGTCCTTCTGCCCTTATTACAGCAGTTTTAGACCCAGAGCACCTTTTCAAGAAGTGGCATCACTACAAGCTCTAGGGCTTTGTTTCTCGACCTTGGTAACTTTAAGATGGGTGGACTTCAACTCCCAGAATTCCCCAGCCAGCCTGGCTTGCTGTTTGGGGAATTCTGGGAGTTGAAGTCCATGCATCTTAAAGTTGCAGAGGCTGAGAAACACTGTTCTAGTGAAAAAGAAAGCAAGAAATACTGTGACGTTCTTAGGTTCTGTCTTTGTGGAATAAAGACTTCTGTAAAATGCTAAAGGGGACCGATTTTCCTTTTAGACCAATCATTCCTAATTTTCAATTGTTTTTGCAGGTTTCATAATATGTCCCTTCTGAAATGAGCAGGGAAAGCTTTTCAAAGCCTTTTTCTCTCTCTCTCGGATAGACTCCAGTGTGAAATAAAGTCATATTTTATTACTGTATGGCAGTGTTTCTCAACCCTGGTAAGTTTAAGATGGGTGGACTTCAACTCCCAGAATTCCCCAGCCAGCCTGGCTTATGAGAGTTGAAGTCCACCCATCTTAGATTTGCCAGGGTTGAGAAACACTACTGTAAAGCAAAATTAAGCAGCAGTTTTACACCAATATCTGTTCTACACCTGATGGGAATGTAACGTGCCATGCGTGTAGCACTTTTCTGCCCTGAATTAACACTAACTCCACATACCATTTTTTGGCTCAAACATATTTGTCACTTGTTTACTTGTTTTTCATTCCCTTTGCAGATTCCTCTCCTACAGGAAAGCTCCAGTGTAGAGTGGAAAACAAATGGGCACATGCTCTAAAGCCTAGATTTAAGCATTTGTTGAAGATTACAAGAAATACCTTTTTTTCCCTATTCCACTCTCCTGATCCTAAAGACCTCCTATACATTTTTAATTACCCCAAGTTGTAAAACAAAATTTAGGAGAGCATATTTGAAGAGGGTGTGGTGGTAGGAAATCTTAGTATTTTAATTATTAACGTAAGATAAATGAAGTTTTTTTAAATTTCTATTTTGATCGAAATTTAAAGGAAAAAGGCAAAAGTTTAGGGTGCTTGAATTGCTTTAGATTCAAGCAAAAAGCATGGGGGGTTTGAAATGGGGGGGCTTCATGTATCCCATCTGTACAGCTCTTTAAAGAAGTTGTATCTTGTCCTGGGATGATGTGGGTGCTTTAAAGACTCACTCGTATTTAAAGACTTGCATTCCAAGGCATCTTTTGATCCTCTAATCCAGGGGTGTCAAACTGCCAGCCCGCACGCCAGATGAGTCATGGTGAAACCACGCCCACCCCATTGCCGGCAATGGAAAAAAAGTCACGATACGTCGCAACACGTCATGTGACGTTGTGAGTTTGACACCCCTACTCTAATGCAATGGACTGCAGAACCCTACAGGAGGCAAAGAAATCTTAAAAAACAGGAATCTTTTTTTACTGTCTATGTGGATTTTTAATATGTACATTTGATAGATTTTATTATGTTTGTAAATATTTCATGTACAAACATGTCAGAAACTACTTTGGCACCGTAGCTTCTGGTCTGGACTCAGTGATAGCAAGGCAACAGTTTGACTTTCTAGGCTATGATCTTTTGGTACAGTAACTACATGCTGCAAAATGGCTTCATGCTAAGAATGCACTAGTTTTGTTTTATAAAACATGATGAAGTTTTTCTTAAGAGTCATTGGTAAGAGCCATTAGCTATTTGGTTCTCTTGTGGCCTTGAGTCAATGGCTAGACGTTTTGCCACAGATCAACCAAGTCAATAAAGCTGCAATTTTTTAAACTAATGTCAAAATAAAACTCTTGAGCCTATTGAAGGGAAATTCAAGGAAGTATGGACTGTGTTTTCAGCGGGAGTATATAATTGTGGACCTTATCTTAGAGTTGTAAAGAAGATCCTGTATTCAAGTGAATTTTTTTTTTGCTGGCAAACAAGTGAGAGAATGTCTCACCCTGAAGTCTTTTCTTGATATTCTCCTATAGAAAATTTTGGATATTGCACACCACCGGAGCAATTCTCATGCTTGTACCTGCTGAGTTGAAGCCATTCATTTAATAATTGCTCGCAATTTCTTATAGCGTAACATCTTAGTTATGTAGTGCAGCATTTCTCAACCTCAACCATAGCTGGCTGGGGAATCTGCAAGTTGAAGTCCACCCCTCTGAAGGTTGCAGAGGTTGAGCAACACTGATGTAGTGCTTTAGCAAATTCCATCTTAAAATTTCTGAACAGATTTCAGTGAACAGAGAACAAGATGGAATTAGCAGGAAACAGTGTGGCTGTACGTACGGTTTCATATTTCTCTGCCGATTCACTTGGCTTTTATTCCTGAGTGTGCATTTTGGGGAGTGGATTGCTAATTGTACTAACAGCAATTATTTTGAAATTCAGATGTCTTACATTTTATTTAGACCTTTAATTCCCTTCACTAGTGTAAATATAACTTGGGCAGAGCAAATAACCAATTTCCAAGCCACAATAATAATAAAAAAAAATCCAGAAGTCACCCCATTGAAAGTATTGTATATAAGATGTCTATTATGAAGTCTTCTTAACATGATTCGTGTTTAATGTGTGTAGATAATTATTATTGGAATAAATGATGTATTGTTTTTTAATAGAAATGGGTGTCCTGTTGAAATTATTCTTTCTGATAGCAGCTTCATCAGCATCTTCAAGAGCAAACCAATATTCCCCCCAGTTCCTTACACGGAACAGAAGGCCTGATTATTTTAATAGCATGCCTCATCTACCCAGAGGGAGCTGCCTGAGAATTATTCTTGGATTAAAAGTCATTGTTTGTGCAGCATTCAGTAATGTCAATGAAATGAGAATAAATTGTCACACTTTCAGCCTTAACAGTCAGCAATGAAAAATCTCGCCCAGAAAAAGGAACAATGCTATGATGCTCTTATCATTCATTATTACAATGGAAAAAGAGCTGTACTCTATTGAATTGTTTTAGGCCACATCCTGTTCTAGACTATGCTCATAAATGTCTTTTAGCTTTTCTTTTTTGGAAGGCTTTTCCCAGTAGCAATCAGGTTTAATAGCCATTGCTTGCCTAAGGTTCACCAGATGTATTGAGAATACAGCTATACTGGCTATGAATTACAGGAGACTGGATCCCAGCTCCACTTGGAAGACTGGTTTCCATTATCATAATTCAGTTGCTCAGTTGGAGCAGATGGGAACTTGATCCGAGCCAGGGGTCTCTCCTCCACCAACTGAGCTTTGATGCAAGATGGGGAGACCATCAGGATTTCCCCTCTGGCTGTTGCCATTTGAAGGTCGGTTCTGCCTTCTTTTACCATTGCAACAATTTTGAGTGCAAGATGACCCCCTGAGCTTCATGATTGAAAACCCTCCTCATTGGCCATAAGGCAATGGCAGAATGGAATAGGAATAGAATAGAATAGAATAGAATAGAATAGAATAGAATAGAATAGAATAGAATAGAATAGAATAGAATAGAATAGAATAGAATAGAATACATGGAGTGGAGTGGAGTGGAATGGAATGGAATAGAAATAGAATAGGATAGAATAGAATAGAATACATGGAGTGGAATGGAATAGAATAGAATAGAATAGAATACATGGAGTGGAGTGGAATGGAATAGAATAGAATAGAATAGAATACATGGAGTGGAGTGGAGTGGAATGGAATGGAATAGAAATAGAATAGGATAGAATAGAATAGAATACATGGAGTGGAATGGAATAGGATAGAATAGAATAGAATACATGGAGTGGAATGGAATAGAATAGAATAGAATAGAATACATGGAGTGGAGTGGAATAGAATAGAATAGAATAGAATAGAATAGAATAGAATAGAATAGAATAGACATTGGAGGTCTTCTAGTCCAACCACCTGCTCAAGCAGGAGAACCTACTATCTCAATCAAGATTCTGGGGTTAGTTTTCTTTCTGGTTGCTTGCAAAATCAGAAGAAGAATAGTTAAAAGCTACCAAGACTTAGAAATCATGGTGTAGAATTTAGCCACTTTTATATTGACCTTCATTTATCTCAGCAGACTAGAATTGTCTCTGCAGCATTCAAGGGGGCTGGAAGACTACTTAACATTTTTGCACGTCCAGGGGCAGGGATGGAAAGAACAAAAGGTTCAAAGCAAATGTGGCTTGAATCTTGATCAGAAAAGAGTTGGAAGGGACCTCAAGCAGGAGAAGCTTTACCATTTCAGACAAGTGTCTGTCCAGGCTCTTAAAAACCTCCAGTGATGAAATACAACGTCTGAAGGCAAGCGGTTCCACTGGTTGATTGTTCTTACTGTTAGGAAGTTTCTC